AAAAACTTACAAAACATTGCTTAACCACATAAAGGAAAGCAAGCAAAAAGTTCACTTGGTGTTGCGCGCCTTAACATTTTCCCAGGAAAAATCTGGATCGTCTCATCCAAAATGACCGTAAGTAGCAGCCTTCTGATAATGAAGTTTCCGCCCCTTTTCAGGTCCAGATTGATCGCAATCATTCCTGAGGTTTGAAAATTATACTTTGTCGAAGAGGTTCAGTATACCGATTGCATATGACTACTGAATGGTACACGGCGTACAACCCAAAGGTTTGAGAATTATACTTTGTCCAAGAGGTTCAGTATAAATTAGCGCATGATATTAAACAACAGTACGTCCTATTAAAGGTAGAGATATTTTTATGCTAAGTGCAATCTTAGTTAATATTCTAGATTTGTATTCCTTTTTTGTGCTTTTGCATCTTCTTAGAAATATAGTTAGGTCATAGATAAAAATTGGATTAATTTATCACGAGAGACAAGATTAGTACTTAAGAAATATCAATTGCCTGCATAAATCAAGAATTGATTATAAAAGGATAATTCTTACATGAAACTATGGAGGTATATGCTTGCAACAAAGCAATATGCAACAAGACAGTTAAAATTCGCATGAAGAGCCGGAGACGATCACAAATAAAAGCCAATATGAAATTAAGGTGTTCGACTTGAGACGAAAATAGTGCCAAGCTCGGAAATGATGCACTTTATAATGCATCTACCAGTAATTCAAGAACTTGCAAAAATAGATTGTAGATGTAATAAACTACCGGGAATTCTAGAAAGTTATAGGTAACAATCTGTAAAGAGGCGTCACTCTTTGCTCTTAATAAAACCTCTCGATCATTTCGTTTGTGTTAAGACATAAATTCGTCGTAACTTTTTGAAGAAATAATGTTGTGTACGATCTGTGATGCTTAGCACCGATATATTTTAAAGTGGTGCGAGAGCTGTACAACATTACTTTTTATAATAAAGCAATAGATTAAAACATCAACACTATCGTTTGACGTACATTTTATTTATTAAAAAAGGAAAAGGAAAATTTTGAAAAGTTAAAAGCAATTTTTAAGAAGTTTTTGGACCCATTTGAATATATCATCTCTAATCCAACATGTATAGGACTGTCTAGCTAACTGAAGAAAAAATAGACATGGTGAATAGATCCTTATAGATGTAGATACTCTTCTAGACGAATTAGTTAACGAAATCTAATATTTCTCTCTTACTCTCTCTCGTTTCTTAATTTTCCATTATCATGTTTACTTTTTCTCTTAATATTAGAGGTGAAATTTGAATTAAAGACGGAACAGAATGAAAATTAAATTTGAATTTAACTGCCAATTGATTAGATATCAATGCCACAGATAAAAAGTACGTAATTCTATTTAGCACACAATCCAGATGACACTAATGAGAAATTTTATTAAATGAGTTACTTAATTCTAATTTTAATGACTGTATGGTATTGTCACTTAAATTGATGTTATATAATCAGTAATGATAAATAACATTATTATTTCTATTCACATGTTAGCAATTTATAAAATATATTAAAGATGCTCTTTGTAGATTCAACTTTGTATTGGCCGTCCTCCTCATTTTTTTAATTTTTTTATTTGTTTATATTTTTTTTTCCCCTACCTTGATCAGCTCTCATATTCATCATCTTGAACATAGAAAATGACTTGCTAATAAAATAATTTATCTTTTATGAAAGTCTCTTCTCCACATCGAAGAAACGCACATTGTGAGTTTTCTGGTGAAATTCTGTGGGAAGTTTTCTGTACATTGGGGAAAGCTGAATAAAAAATAATTTACATGCGTTGCTCCATGTGGTGCTAAATTAATTGGGTAGATGAAATCTAGACAAAATCTCACTATACATTATTATATAAACATTTAACAGTTCAAAGCTGAAGCAGAGATAGAACAAAATTTCTTGCTTCTTTCTTTTAAGGGAAAATTGTCCATAGATTTGTAAGCTTTTCAATATTTTTCATGTGTCAGATTCTCAATAATTTTCCATACATTTGACCTCTATGCTTCACTAGAAAAGACATTTTTTTTTGAAAAAGCAAAACTCGAAAATAATAATTTGAGCTCATTCTTTAAATTATTATTATTTTTAGTTCGTTTTTAATAATATATTCTCTTAACAAAATAATTTTGCACGTAAATTAAAAAAAATTCTCTTACTTTTAAATCATACATTCTCAAAAAAATAAGAGGTTGTTGTTCTCTTCGTGTTTTAGTTTTAGGTTTTGAATTCATTTTTGGTTTTGTGTTTTGATTATCCATTTTAAAATTGTTGAAAACGCATTCTTTCTGTCATTTTGAAAAATTATTTTCAAAAAAAAAAAATTTAATTTTGACTTGATTTTAACTGAAAACAGCCAAAATGACATGTTTGGAGTTTTCCGTTTTCTTTGTAAATTTTAAACTTGTTTTTGAAAATTCGTTTCTGAAAATAGGTAAGTAAACATGTTTTCAAAAACTGAAAACTAAAAATGGCTTGAAAATGCTCGAATTGGAAAAATTATATTGTAAGATTTGTAGTTTTTTAAGTTATCTTTTCAACGCATTTTGAATAATCTCAATCAGATATCGAGAGAAAAAGATATGATCAAAATACTAAAAGCTGTCAGGGGGAAAGAAACATATACCTATGCGGCCGCATAGGTCTAATTTGATGCGACCGTTTCATACATTCCATGGTCAAAATTGATGGTTGGACGTTCTTCTATGCGATTGCTTATAAATATAATATGTGACCGCATAGTACAAACTTTTGGGGAGATTTTGTTTCCTTTTTCAATTAAAACTCTACTTTGGTAACAAGATTTTAGGCATCATATATATACCAAACTCAATCAGAACACAGGAGANCTCAACCACCAAATCAATATCTGCAACCAAATTCATCAAGTCCGAATTTATCATAGATTTCCTTAATTTCTCCCACAAAATCAGCAGCTTCTGGGCGAGAAAGTCCAAGACCCATACCTAGGCTAGGTGTGCCAGGTGAACAGGGACCTAGCCCAGGAGGTCCCCAACCGTCGGTGGTCCTGCCGTCGCTGGAATTGGCGCTGTTCAGTGGCTGTGTCGCGAGGCTCGCGACTGGCGAAATTTCAGGATTGGCATGATTTGTTGGTGATGTTTGTAATGATCTGTTGGCATGATTGTGGTTACCTGGTGATGGGCAGTTGGAAGGAGGTGGGTTTCGGCCATGGGATTGGCCGGAAGTGCAATTCCCAGCGATTTTCAGATTGGGTGACAGTGAACTTTGAGCGTTGATTCCAGCCACTGTAGTTGATGGAATTGAGCGTGGTTGGGTGGTATTTGAAGGGGAGATGGATGGCTGTTGACCGGTGTCAAGATCCGGCGGGATAGGTGGCCGGAGGCTGCCGGATTTTGGACGCATTTGGGGGTGAAAAAAGGCAAAAAATTGACTGTTATGCCAAGTGTAAATGGTTATTTTTAATATTTTCATAAATTTTGAATTGATTTACATTTTAAAAAAGTTTAAGAGCAAATTGCAATTTATTCTTTATTTTTCTTTTTCTTTTCTTTTTTGTTTTATTTAAATTGGAGGGTATATCGGTCATTTTATGTTAAAATTAGGAAAAATGACGTTTTGTGCAAGAAAATGCATAGGTAGGGACGTTCTGCACCAAAAAATCAAACGTAGGGACGTTTTCCACACAACCCGTCATATGTAGGGACGTTTTGCACCAATTACCCTTTTCGAAAAGTAAAAATTGAAAATGGTTTGAAAACAGCAAAAAGAAAATGCCCTAACGTTTTACAAAATCTAACTAAATATGAGGTTTAAAACAGGGGTCAAAGCATGTTTTGAAAGTATTTATAAATTATAAATAGATAAAAATGACTAACAAATAAGCGGATATTACTTATGAATTCATCGAAATATGTTAATAAAAAGTGAATTGAATATTTATAAATAATTTATAAATCTTCCGCCTATTAAAATTGCATACATCAATTCTCACTTTAGTCGTTTTATGTATAGTGAGATTAAAGAATATTCGGTGATTCATTTACAGTTGTCTCTATAATAGTATGACTAATGTCATATTGTTCAATGAAATTTGAATGCACTTTTATTTATTAGACAACGTGAATGTGACAGTATTTCCGTTATAACATAAATTATCGTTCATCATCGTCGATGCTGATAGATGATATCATTCAAATTGAAATTCGACCGCAATGAAATGACCATTTTATTTTTTAACCTCAAATATTAAAGGTTACTTGCAGGAACAAGAAACCACCCTAGTTTCCAAGACAATTTCCAATTGGAATCAATTTGATCATTGGTGGACTAAAATTTATCTAAGCTGATTTTCCTAAAAAGGGTCAACTCTAATGGGACCCCTTTGAAAATTGATAAAATCATTAAACATTGGTCATTGATTAACCAATCAATCCAAGGTGCCATTATATGTGACGTGCCTCGATGGAGTCTGCAATTATATAATTTTTAAATTAATGCACATAAATTAACTAGTGGATGTCTGTCCTTCTGGATATTACAAGGATCCCAAGTTTATTATTAAAATGGGATTGGAAAGTAGAGTAAAATTGTGATAATTATAATATTTACTTATAAGTAAATGTGTTTTGAAATTAGAGTAAGATTTTGATTATTTCTGCCATTCTTGATTAGTTACCATGCAAAATAAAGAACTGCAAGTTTTGGTGCAAAACCTACTCATTAATAAATTAAAGTATTTAAGTTATTTTTAGCTTATAAGGACTTCTGGTAGTGGTGAGAACTGTACAAACACAAGTGAGGAACTGTCACACCAGAAAAATCTAAAAATCATGGCTTTCCTAGAAGAAACGAACAGACAAACATACAGTCAGATCTTTAAAGAAAAAAAGTAGATTTTTCATTCAATTCAATCACATACACAAAATCCCAGAAACTGCTTTATCTAAATCCCACAATCTTTCTGATTGTACTTACAGTCAGTTTTCATAATTCAAGAAGAACATATTGTTGCCATCTCCAGTACTAATCAGTTCCTTAACTTCCTCGAGATCATATTGTAATTGACTGTTGTCAAAAATCCCATTTGCCTTTTCATGATCATCGGAAAATGTATTGAGGGGATCATCACTGTTGATCTTTCCATAATCAAGCATAATTTTTTTATTTTCTTCAATCAAGAAACCCTGAAAACGGCCTTCTTCCGGTTTTACATCTTTGCTGTAGCTGATCTGACTGTAACTTCCATCAGATGAAGAACAACTTGCTTCATTTCCACCAAACATTAGCATATTCTGATCTTTCACTGGATAATATTTCAAATCCATCAGACCCACTTGATTTTGAGGGTAATAAGAACATTGATTGGTAAATGAAGGAATGTCGTTATTATTGTAGAGAAAATTTTGTGGGAGTGAAGAGGATTCAAATCCTGAGAGGGATTTTGTTGGGGTGTAGAATGAGTTGAGATTATCTTTACATAATTGTGACAGATTTGGGAGTGATTGAGAAAGAGTTGCAGAAAATGATGATATTTTTCCTTGGTAATCTGGGGTAAATTTGCCCATCAGCTTCTTCTTTAGCTTGGTGTTCCAGTAGTTCTTGATATCATTATCCGTCCTTCCCGGTAACTGCGCAGCTATAATTGACCACCTGCATTTTTCATAAACAGTTTTAGAAAAAACCGTCAAATTTCCTCATCTAAAGCTTAAACAATTAGAAAAGACTCTTGTCTTCGACTAATCCCCTCACCTACACAATTCCGGTAAAACCGGTGGTGCTGTTTTAACAAAAGTTCCAAAAAAAATAAAAAATTCAGCTATCCATGAACAAGAGTGAGACTTAGCATCAGTTGAATATCTAAATATGGCATGCACACATGAAACTGTCAGAATCTTGTAACGTATGTTACTTCAACGGTTCCAGATTTTTGCATTTTTTTCCCCTATTTTCTTCATGAAATTATCAAGAAACGCTCAAAAACTTTTGGGGGTGGTGGGAGGGGGGAACCAAAAAATGTAATCAGAATTGCTTGTATATATTAGTGTACCTGCTTCCAATGGTTGCATATAGTGTGCAGATTATTCTATCTTCCTCATCAGTAAATTCACCATGTTTAATATTAGGCCTTAGATAATTAAGCCACCTTAATCTGCAGCTTTTCCCGCATCTCTTCAGACCTGGATTTAATGCCAACCCGTCAACATAAATGTAAAACACAAAAGCAAAGAAAATTGAGTACATACCAGCCTTTTGAGGTAGAGCAATCCAATTCCCACCAGTCCCATATTTCTCGATGAACTCTTTGAGCTGTGCATCTTCTTCAGGTGACCATGGTCCCTTCTTCACATTTGCCTTGTCACAACACGGAGCCCTCCCCATTTTTCTCTCTAAAACTCTCTCTCTCTCTCTATAACTCGCTACAAGTACAAGTGTGTTGGCTGTTTGAGAAACTTCTCTCTCTCTCTCTCTATCTGTGTCTAGATTGACTTGGTGTATGAAGGGTTTGGGGTTTTTATTGAGAGAAAACTGTGGTTAAGGAACAGTAAATAAGTTATTATTATATTTCTCGAAGAGTTACGTAAGTCAAAGAGATAGGGTTATTAGATTAATTTCAAACTTCCCAGCTAAAAGCTAGATGATAGAAGTTTCCATCTCATGATTATACAGTAAATGCTGCATAGCCGGCATACAATATCGTGATCCTCCTTCCCTATTCACTTATACTTCGGAAATGAATTTAACCCACAGATATGGTATGAAATTACAAAATTAATACCTCAAAAATTAATAACATCGCACATTTAATAAAATTTATGAAACCGATATTTATACACATAACTTAAATATTTCTGATAATTAAAATGAAATATTTAAAAAATAATTAGCATAATTACGTTTCTTAAATTACTCTCTATCTAGAGTAGCATTTTTTTCCCGGGATTGTTCTCATCTTATGAGCTACAACACTTGTGGGTTTTGAAAAGTCAAGAATTAAAAATATATAAGTGAAGGATGCATAATTTATTTTTGTGCGAACAAATTTCAAGTTTGTGATAATTATTGAGTAAAGAAGGTCGTACTTTCAAAAGAAATGACAAGATATAATTAGAGAATATGAAATCAAATTAAAGTGCAATTATCAAATTAAAGTTCATATGCACTTGTGGAGAAAATAAGGGTCTGTTTGGTACAATTATTGAATGTAGAGCTTTTATTAGATAGGTCTTTTTTCTTTTTTTCTTTTTATTAGAGAAGCTCAAAATTTGGGTTTCTCTAAAATAGCTCTTTTAATATTTTTTTTATATCAAAAAGTACATTTTAACTTTAGTGAAAGAACCAATATTTTAAACGAAATTGAATTTTTATGTTTTGGAAAAGCCACTCCAAATACACTAAGGATGCGTTTGATTACAAAGATGGAAAATGGGTGGAAAGAAAATATTTTACAGGGAAAAGATTTGTCTAAAAAATATTATGCAGGGGAAAATGATTTCAAGTGTGTTTGATAGGTATAATTTTCCATCCGAAAAATTTTTAAATATTCTATTCGTTTGACTTTGTTTTACATG